GCCAAAAGCCTAAAAAAAAAATAGATATTCCACCTCCCTGGTGGCACAGGAGTTAAAGTCTCAGTGCTGTGAAGCTAATGCCAAACACTGAGGCCTGAGTTCAATCCCAGCCAGGGAGCTGACCCACATGACTCAGCAGACCTCTCCTGTCTCACCTGCTGCTCCCCTCAGCAGTGTATTTCAGTAGATCCACCTGTTCTGTCCTCACTCTGTCTCTGGTGATTACTCTCATTCCCCCACACCTCTGACCTACATTTATTTATGTATGCATAAATAAATCTTTAAAAAAAAGAAGGTATTTGTTAGACATTTATTCTTGAGTAACACAAATTTAGAAAAAGGCAGGGCAGCTCTGGTGTAGAAACCTACCCCGCACTAGATCCAGCCTGTCTTTTAATGTCTAGATGTTTAGCTAATATGTCAACATCTTCAAAGATTACTATAGTTCCATTAAGATTTTCTCTCTTATTTTGAGTGAGGTTTTATTTATGTTTTCTCAGACATTATCCATTTTTTGAACTTTTCAAATGCATTAACATAAAATCATTAAGAGCTCCCCTCCTTTTTATTGATCTGTGCCATATCTGTATATACTTCATTTTACTCCAAAAATTATTTTTGCCTTTTCAATTGGGTCTGTGGTTTTTCTATTTTATTATTTAAAAATAACTACCTTTAAAAATCAAAATCAACAGGCAATTATAAACCAGAGATATTCTGCAGTGGGGGGAGAAGGGAGTGGAAAACAGGGGTGGGAAGAGCACAAGGGACTGTGGTGATGATGCATGGGTGAATGGGTGGTAGGAATTTCACAGGGACTATAATCGAGATGAAAATGCATACATTGTACAAAAATGAAAAATAATGTAAAAATATATATAAAATAAAATAATAAAAAATAAAAATAACTACTTTTATCTTGCTCATATCCATTATATATTCAGTCTGAATTCCACCTGTTTTCCTCTATGTGTTTCCTTCCCAGTGCTACTCTTAGATTCAAGTAAGAGACTCCCCGTGCTGGGTCACAAGCTTTAGAAGGCCCTGCAAATCAGCCAAAAATGATAATTACACAAAATTTTTAAGATGATGACTGTGACTGTCACTTTCCATGCAACCCATAATGTGAAATGGAACATATTCACTTATGATACCTTTCTATTTTCTGTGTCCATTATGATTTCTTCTGTGACCCGTGAGTTACTTCTACTTGTCCTGACCTATAAGGTTTTTTTAGTAATGTTTGTTAATGATTTCTCACCTATATACATCTCAGGGATTAAAATCACTTGTGGAGGACTGTTTATAGCCAACTGCAGAGCAGCTGTGCGCTTAGGCAAAGAGATACAGATACTGGCAGTGGGACACTGACAGGGCACACTGGGGAGGGAAACATCAAAAGGGTATTGGTGGGGCCTCTTCTACCAAAGAGAGCACCTCACTTCTTGCCACTTATGTGTCTTGGAAAGATTCCCATATGAATACACAAAAAGCTTCTTAATTCACGTTAGAGCTGCACAGTATTTTATTTCAAAAATGTTACTTAAGTTAGCTAGCCAGTCCCTTTTATGAAAATTAGACAACCATGGCTTCAAAGTCAGCTCAACACTCTGGCTTCCAGATCCCTCTTCAGAACCTCTCAGCTATGGACTTAAAAGGAAATTTCTTCTATCTTACGAAACATTTCTAAATGTTTAAGAGATAGAGGCTTTTCGGGCGATGAGGTAGCTATGTTGCTCAAAACAGGACTAATCCAGGCTCTTTCCAGCCTTGTACCAGCCATTTTAGGCAGTCCAGGAGGTTAGTCCTCCTCCTGTCATCTAATGGTTGCAGACACCACCATCAAATGCAAGAGAGAGGAAATAGCTCTCTGCTTTTATAAGTAAAAAAAAAAAAAAAAATGTTTTTTAGAAGAACCTCTGGAAGTCATCCACTTTAGTTGGACAGAACTCAAGGTCCAGCAAGGACTAGCTACAAGGAAATCTGGGTAAATTTGATAGCAAACATGATCATGATACCCAATTTTGGTCAATCATGCTTTACTCCCAGGGCCTGGGTATTTAGCCACACCCCAAAAAAAACTGAAGAAGGAAGGACTGTAGTGGGCAATGATTCTCAAATGAAATGAAATAAAAAATAAACTGTAAGCTGACATGACGTATTCTTTAAGCTGTCAAGATAAACCAGAACAAACTGATGAGACTAAAGCATTTTTAATTAATAAAATATTTTATAGGATAAAATTTATAACATGTGCATGTGCATGTATACTCAAGCTCTTTCTCATCAGACACATTCCTAATTTTGTATATTATGCAATATTGGTGCTTAATCACTTCATTTTTTTAAAAGATTTATTTATGCATACAAGAACTGGAGTATAAGCCAGAGGTGTGTGGGGGGGTGGTTTTATAGGATTCACCAGAGAGAGTGGGGAGCAAAACCGGTAGATGTACTGAAATACACTGCTGAGGGGAGCAGCAGGCACAGCAGAAGAGGTCTGCTGCACCATGTGTGTAGCTCCCTGGCTGGCTGGGGATCGAACTCATGCTGTGGCTGCCAACTTGATAGTGCTGTCTTCAACCCCTATGCCACCAGGGAAGCCCCTTAATCATTTCATTTTTGTGAAATATGATTTCATTTGCCAAATGTACACATAAAATGACAAACTTTTCATATCATCACAAATTTCCACAGATATCAAATTTATCTGGCCTATCAAAAGGTTATTCCTGCATTGCAATCTAGGATTAAATGAACATATTTTTTATTTTATTTTAAGTTTTCAAACTCCTATTTTTTCCCCAAAGTATTCACAAGTGTTTCCTAGTAAAGGGTAAGTTATTGGGCCTCCCCTGGTGGCACATGCAATTGAGTGCAGCGCCGTGAAGCCGTCCACAGCCTCTGCAGCAGGGGTTCGATCCCGGCCAGCCAGCGAGGGTCCCACATGGCATGGCAGACCTCTCCTGTTTTGCCTGCAGCTCCCCTCAGCAGTGTATTTCATCAGTTTGCCTATTCTGTTCCCTGTCTCTGGCAAATCCTCTCACTCTCCCGCACATCTGGTCTGTACCCCAGATCTTGTATAAATAAATAAATAAATCTTAAAAAAAAAACAATAAATAAAGGATAATTGTCAAAAGTATGTGTAAGTTAAACTGAAGTATATCTTCATGTGAAATCTGATTAGGTTTGTAAACAGTTGGCTGTACAACTTAAGTGTCTGACCTTGGAAAAGCACAGATATCACTTGAGGACATGGAGGTTATGGCTATCAAAGTGTAAAACTTTACATCACACCATTTAGAAATCTACCTCCCAAGTAAGGCTGCTTCAAAGAACAGTGTGATGTTTATTCTCAAATGCTTCAAGCCTCAAAGGGAGTGGGAAGCCATGTGCACAAAAGTGTTGTTTGTATTCTATCCACATGCATGTATTTGTGATACAATAATTTCATTCTGAAAAACTGCATAGACAAAATGAAATCTAATGGCAGAGAAATGGCTCATTTCAATGTTCAAATCAATGCAGAAATTTATTGTATCAAATGGTAATGTCAAATGAAAATGTGCCATAAAGTCAACTAGATTACTTGACCTTAAGTAATATAATACAATTGGTGCTACAAAAATACAATTAAATGAGATGTGAATGCAAGTATAAACAGATTTTTAGCACAGCAATAGTCATCACTGCCTTTAAATTTTTATACTGATATGTTCATTTAAGTTATTCATTCTATTAGTAAGCCAACAATACTCACCTAGTATCAGAATATAAAACATTAAACTATGTAAGAACAAACACAGTGTTTTAGATTTGAAAACACAAAATTTTCATATGTCCCAAAGCATTTTTACCTTTAAAATCCCAAGCAATCTGCTTTGAGTGCCTACAGATTTTTCCTCTGACAATCTGAATTCTCAGAGATGATGCATGGTTTTCAAACATCAAATGGGTTATTCTCTGAATCTCCCAAATTTCTACTAAGCGTTAACAACCCACACTTAAAGTTTGAGCTGCTGTCTTGTGGCTATCACACCATCCAAGCAGTGGGTAGGCCTGGGTGCCATGCTGAAGTTAAGGCAGGCATTGCTGCTTACAGTGTGCCATTTCTCTATCTGCTCTAACTCCATTAATTATCAGCCTGGCACTCCCTACTCCTGCCTGAGCCAATCCAGCCTTAAACAGAGGGACCCAGAATGACAAGAACATCAGAAACATAGTTGTAGTAGGATAATCTTCTACAATTTAACAATCAGGAGGCACATGGCATTCTATATGAATAGAAAATAATTAGAGATGCTCAAGGAGATTCCATTCTATTTGTTCCCCCTAAAATGTAATCAGTATTTCTCATCCCTCTTTTTTGTGTATAACTGAAGTCTTTCTAATAGGTGCCCCCATTTTGTTCCCACTTCCTAACAAACCAGAATTCAGAATTGAGGTCTGAGTCCCTGAAATCCATTCTTTCAAGATTAAGCACAGTCTACCAACTCGATCAAGCCACCTCCAGTTTGTCTCTGTCAAAATGATCTTGTCTGTTTTTTCATTCTCTCATTGCATTTGCAGGTCTATCTCTTCTTCATTAGTCCTTTAAATCTAAAAGGGTACAGAGATTGGCCATATGCATCTTTTCCAGCCTCACTCCTGGTATAGAATAGACACGATAAACTAAACTACAATAGCGTACTCAAAAAAAGCATTAGAGGTTATGGAATCAAACAAAAACTAAATGTGCCCAAAACAACTCATCTTCTCATCTCAGGTCAAAAAAGTCCTCCACACCCACGCATCTGCATATGATAAAATCACAAGACAACTGAGAAAAGGCCTGTAGGTTCTAAATAAAGCCATTTTCCTACTGACCAGGTGTCCTCAGAGTATAAATGTGCTCTTCTGAAGGGGTATTGACTGGAATGATACTGAACAATTCCATAACTGGAGAAAATCTCATACATTCCAATAGAGAAGCAGTGTCCTTACAATTTAACTCCACTTACCTGTAATGCTCACTGACAGGAATATTCTGAGAGAAGTATAATGCTGATGTCCGTGCTCTCCAGTGCCATTTCTTTGCAGGAAGCGTATAAAGGACACAGTCTTCTAGTTCTTCTTGGAGCAGATCCACCAGCTGTTTATGGGACCCTCCATAAAATGCCTCGATGATGAGGATACTCATTGGCTCTTTTAAATCTTCACCCTTCAGATAATAGCAAAAAAATATTATTTTCAAATATATGTATATATGTGTACATAAAAGAACTCTTTAACTTAAAAATAAGTGATACTGAAAATGCAAAAATAATTTAGACACAGTTTATTAACAGCAGCTTGTCCCATTTTCTAAAAAAGTATGTGGCACTTTAGGTTTACATTATTCTAATTGATATTTTTATATCATTCACATTAAGAGGAAATTAAGGATACATTATTTTTATGATTTCTGTTTTCTTCAAGCCCTAAGATTATGTCCACAATGATTTGGGTGTTTCTCCTAGTGCAGGAAGCTTACCGCCCACTCCTGCTGGGATCACTCACTTTCTGGTTGGATTGTCTGTAACCCTGTCTCAGTAACCTCAGAACCAATTTGGCCCATAGCTGTCTCTAGTCTAGGATAGCCACTCAAGAGGTCCTTCATTTGTAAGGCCAATTCCAGATTGGGAATTCTCTGATTGTATAACTCTCATATTAACTTGTCTTATAATTCACCAGTTATCACTGACCCCAATGAATCCATCTTCAGAGAGAATTACTTTAATATTCAAACCTCAATACTCTAGTGTTAAGAATCATAGAATATAGTATCTTAATACTGCATAGACCTTGACCACTTCCCCATTACTGTCAACACCACATCCCTGAAGGAACAACAAGAGGATAGCACAAAGCTACATGTCTGTGAACCAGCAACAGTTCTACAACCTCTCTTTAAACAACAAACACATTAAGAGAGGGAAGGAACATTAATGTTGCTATTCCAGAATATGGTAAAATTTTCATAACAAAGAATTGACTATCAAGTAATGTTTTATAATAATATATTTCTTAATGTACTCAGTGGACATAAAAATATGTGCATGGAAAAATTTTATATATATTTCAAATGTTACACTTTTTCCTGTAAGAAGGAAGAAACATCACTGTAACTGTATACTACATTATTTAAAGGATATTCCATGTTTGAATGTTCCTTTTTGACTTAAGTAAACACCATTCATTATTAAGAATACTGCTTTTCTTAATAAAGTTGTTCAACAAAATTATTAGTATCAACAACTCAATGATCCTCTTCACTAATAAAATTGTACTTCACTTTGCGCAAAGCAATACTCACTTTAATCGCATTCTAAAGAAGAAAGTCTCAAATGGGGGCCTCCTTAGTGGCGCAAGGTGTTAAGTCTCAGCACTGTGAAGCTGTAAGCAGCTACTGCAGCTACTGCAGCAACTAAGTGTTGGATCCCTGGCCAAGGAGCTAATACACATGGCACAGCAGACCTCTCCTGTTTTGCCTGCTGCTCCCCTCAGCAGTGTATTTCAGTGGATCTGCCTGTTCTGCTCCCCACTCTGTCTCTGGTGAATCCTCTCACACCTCTACACCTCTGGCCTATACCCCAGCTCTTGTATGCACAAATAAAATATTTTTTTTCCATTTTTTTATTTTAACATTTATCATTTTTTAATTTTTTAGACAATATTTGCTTTCCCCCACCCCCTCAGATTGAATCCCCATAGAATCTCCTTCCCCAAGGCACCCATGCACCATCACCACAGTCCCTGTGTTCCTCCCTACATCTTTCTCACCCCTCACCCTCCTCCTCCCCTGCAGTATGTCTCTGGTTTATAATTGTCTGTTTTTGCTTTGTTGTGTTTTGTACTGCTAGTATTATTATTCTTTTTACACTGATGTCTTATTTGGTTCCCCTATATTCCTGTTATAAGGGAAACCATCTGATATTTTTCTTTTTCCTTCTGGCTTATTTCACTGAGCATAATTCCTTCTAGCTCCATCCATGTTGCTGCGAATGACATGAGTTTATCTTTTTTGATTGCCTGAATAATATTCCATTGTGTATATATACCACATCTTCTTGATCCAGTCATCTGTTTTTGGGCATTTGGGTTGTTTCCAGGTTTTACAGAAGAACTCAAAAGACATTTCGCCAAAGAGGAAATGCAAATGGCCAACAGGCATATGAAAAAATGTTCAACATCCCTTATCATCAGGGAAATGCAAATCAAAACCACACTGAGATACCACCTTACACCATTAAGAATGGCACATATCAAAAAAAAACAAGCAACAACAAATGTTGGCGAGGATGCAGTGAAAAAGGAACTCTCCTACATTGCTGGTGGGAGGGCAAACTGGTCCAACCATTGTGGAAAGCTGTCTGGAGGTTCCTCAGTCTACTAAAAATGGAGCTACCATACGATCCGTCAATTCCACTCTTAGGGATCTACCCAAAGGACACAAAAACAGTGATTCAAAAGAGCACCTGTACCCCTATGTTTATTGCAGCACTATTTACAATAGGTAAAATAAATCTTAAAAAATAAATCTCAAATCGTTCTCAAAGAAAAGACTGAAGTGAAAAAAAAAAAACCATATTGATTAATGTTTGAATCTTCCAATGAGCATTTTGGGATAATACACAGAAATACATTTCATTTAATGACAAAAAAAGAAACAAAGTTCATCAGGTGGAAAAAAGCATGAATTCAAAAGTCCAGGAGAAAGAGCTGAAGATCAGCCCTATAATTTCCAAGATACATAACTTTGAACAAATTACCTAAATTTGTAGGGCTCTGTCTCATCATCTCTTAAAATGCGGACAACAGTCTGAACCTCAATAGTGTGTTATAAAGACAAAGTTGAAGCACAGTGGCTTCCACATAGCAACAAAGTAGTTTGCCCCTCTCCTTATTAGCATAGTTACTTAAGGTGGAAAAAAAGTCTTCAAATCTTCCAGTATTATAAACTCAGTAATTTTCAATCACTTCCCCTACACCACCAAAGATAGGAATGGTGAAAAATAACAAGCATTTGAAATACAGTGGGTGTCACCCATTCATTATCAGAAGCCTGCCTTTCAGATATGAATTTGAAAGCCCCACAGATTTTGTGGGTAAGAATTAAACTCCGAGGCTGAGCTATATAGAGGCCTTAATTTTTTTTTTTTTTCAGGGCAGCTGGAGATTTCACCTCTAATAATGCAGGGTTCAATGAGTTAACAAACACTCTCCAAATTCAACAAAATGGTATCGATTAATCCCTCAAATAATGGAAACTTCTAAAAAGTAACTGAAAGACCGATAAAAGGCAACTTTGGAAATTGTATTAAAAGCTTCAAAAAAAGGGCCTCCCCTGATGGTGCAGGTGGTTGAGTGCCGCGCTGTGAAGCTCTCCGCAGCCTCTACAGTGAGGGTTCGATCCCAGCCCGTGGGGAGGGTCCCACATGGCGTGGCAGATCTCTTCTGTCTCGCCCGCTGCTCCCCTCAGCAGTGTATTTCATCAGTCTGCCTGTTCTGTTCCTCGCTCTGTCTCTGGTGAATCCTCTCACCCTCCTGTGCATCTGGCCTGTACCCCGGTTCTTGTATAAATAAATAGATCTTAAAAAAAAAAAAATTTAAATTTAAAAAAATGTACTTAAAAAAAGGCTTCAACAAAGAATAAACACAGTTTAATATTAATTTGCTTACATGATCACAGCACAGACAGCTGCTACCTTGCTTTATTTCCTTTGACCTAATCACACAGTATGTATGCCCCTAATATCCTTAAAAGGTCTCTGAAGAGTATTAGTAAAAATGACCCAAGATATTTCCCACAAATGATACAATGTGATCTAAATCACTCTAAAGAATATCTCACTCACATAACCTCAAAGAAAGCATCATTATTAAAAATAAAAACACTTTCAGATTCTTTGTTACTCTGCCCTTTTCCATGATTAATCTAGAGCACATATCATGCCACATATTTACAGATGTTTCTTATGGGTCTGAATCACGAGTTATCTACAAACCATCAGCCACTGTGGAGGCAGTTCGTGTAGGTGCTGCTGTAGATTCAAGACACTCAGCAGAACTGAACACCAACCATGTGGGAGGTCGAAAAATAGAAAAGGGGAAAAAAAGATTATAGCTATAGCAGATTTCCACCCCTTTAATAACTCAGTAAGAAGAGTGAAATGTACAGGTTTGAACTAGCGTTTACTTGAGCATTTTTCTGGTGGCCAAGGGGTGTGCCTGCATTTGGGGTATTTTTCTAGGGAGAGTAACTATGTCCTACCATCTCTGAAGACTATATTTAGTGGCTTTGATTCATGGAAATTTGTTCTGCTTGTTTTGTGGAGACAGACATATCCTGGCAGTTTCCCCACTTACTTCTATTGCAACCTTTGAGGCAAGAAAAAAATATATTCATTCCTATAGTTTTTTCAAAGCACAACCTGGAAGAAAGATGATTCCCATTAGGTGCAAGCAAAAGGGAGAAGCTGATTTTTAAAATATGAGACTTAAGCCAAATGTCATTATAGCATATTAAAGAACAGTTCAAATACTTCTGCTGTGCTTGAGTTTTGTTTTAGAAAATACTGTTTGAAACAAATAAGCATAAGGTTGGGAAAAGAAAAACACTCTGATAAAAAGAATTTTTGCTGTTCTGGTGGAATTTGTTGAAAGATAAAGGAAGTACACTACTGCTCATTTTAGCAACGATCCGATAAAACTGCAGGTGGTCACCCTGACATCACGAAGCTCACGAGCATATGGGTGAACAGTCATTTTTGCAGTGTTAGCAATGGCTGCTAGGGAGCAAGTGCTTTGAGTAGTGGTATCAGAACCTCAATAAGGAAATTATTTACTCCAAAGCAAGGAGCGTGTCTTTATATGGCAGGAGGCTGTGAGCAAGAGTCTGCCAAGAGATGGTGGGAGAGCCTACATAGAGTCCAACATCATACCTAGGTGCCTAAGTTATGACTCTGCTAAAGCTCTAGTACATGTACCACTGTGAAACTTAACCCTTGGAACATCTACACTGAAGTAACTATCTCAGAACATTTTAAAAGGAAGAAACAACAGAAGAAAAATTCCTATGTTGGAGAACAAACACCAACCAGAAAGTCCATGTTCTTTCTGCATGACACTAGAACAATGCTATTTTATGACATTAGGAAAAGAGTAAATGACCAATCTATT